AAGATTTTACAGATTAGCCAAGAAAAAATTATTTTAATTAAAGGTTTAACTGAAAGTTCTAGCATAAAAGCCAATATTTAAAAAATATAAATTTAAATATATTAAAGCAAAAAATTTAAAAATAACAGTATTATTAAGAAATTAAATATACTAATAACAAATAGTAATATAATATTCTATTGTAATGTGTCTCTATGATGATAATGTGTATTAACCAGAAACTTACTAAAAGCAGAATATAAACTTTTTAAAACAATTAAATAATAATAATAATTTTATATCAATATGATTTAAAAAATAAATTTAATATAAATATACTTTAATAATATATAAACTAGTGATGGTACCCAGGTTGGATATTACTTGGATTATCTGCGAATAATCAGATATCTAGGTTGTAAACTCAGCTATTCAGATAAGCATATCCAGATAATATCTGAGTAAACATACTCAGATAATCTTTAGATAACAAAAGTTTAAATATTTATATAGACTATCCAAGCTAAGTAAATATAAATAAATTAATAATAAACTTAATACTTCAATATATTTTACAAAAGTTATTTTTAAAATACTATATTTTTCTTGAAAGTTAAATATAGCCTAAAAAGAGTTAAGCAATCAACTAAATAAAGTAGTGCTTCAATAAAAGAAAATTCATATGTTGTTCAATTGAATTATTCAAAGATAAGCTAATAATCATTTAATTTGTTTATATTCAATTTTTTGAATTGATTTAATTAATATTTTAATTAGTTATTCAGAGATAAGCTAATATTAACTTAGTTTTTTATATGAATTATATCAATACGATCAAAGTTTGGATTTTTCTTCTTATGTTGACATAGATTAATATAGTTTACAAGCGTAATATTATTATTTTTATTACTTGAGAAATTCTGATTAGATAGTTGGATATTTTTTTATTAATCTAAACTAATAGACTAAATTTTATAAAGCTAAAGTTTTTTAATTTTTAAAGCTTTTTTGAAAGATATTCTACTTATTCAGATATATACATGCTAACAAAATTATTTTAGGTTTTAGAGTACGAAATTAAAATTTGAAGACAAAATTGTTTTTGACCTATTTTACTTAAAAGATGAAGTTTTTTAACACTTTTTTTAAAAAGATGAAATTACTATATTTATATGAAATAATGCATATCTGCGCATTATTTCGAGGATTCACTTCAAGGTTTAAGATTGTGGACGAGTTACTAGTGTAGTCACATTAGGGTTCTTTTTGAATTGTTTCTACAATTTGAGTAATTCCTCATCTAATAACATATTTCAAAATTTTCTTTTCTTCTATCTGTAAATTGTTCTGTTTAATGTATAGAAGTAGTATATTTTCTTGAATAAACATAAAGTCTTCTGATTTCTAAGCCTTATCTGGATACTTCGATTATTTAAGAAATTCTTTAAGCTATATATACTATATCTTACATAAAGTAGTAATTTATACAAACTACATTAGTAAGTATAAAATGATTTGCGGAGTATAATAGTAATAGTAAGTAATATGATATTGCTTTGTCTAGCAACATTAAAAAGCTTATATATAATTTTTGTTAAAGCAGATATTAATAAAATGTTATATAAAAAAAAATTAAACTATAACCTTTATATACTACTCCCTTGTTTAATGTGATTCTTTCAGAATCATATCGTATAATCGGATTAGTAGTTTAAAATTTTTTTTTTTTTTTTTAAATATACTAATCAGGTCTCAATTTAGCGCAATACTTATTTCAATAGCTAACCTTGCCAATACCAGGCTCGATACGTGACTTATAGGTTAGATACACCCTCAATTTTAGTATAGTACTTATTTTGGTAGCTAATCCTGCCAGTACCAGGCTCGATATGTGACTTATAGACAGAGCACCTTCAAGCAATTTAGTGTATGTTCAGTAGATATATCTATATAATAATTTAATTAATTTTTTTTTTTTTATTAAATGTAAAAAAATTACAATCTTTAATAAGTATTAAAGTCTACTTTGTTTTATGACAGTTATAATGATATCATAATATATTGTTACTATAAAATGGTACAATTTAATTAATTCATGTTCTTTTTCATTCCTTAACTCTTTTAAATTTTTCTTATCTGGAATAGTACTATTTTATTAATTTTCTATTTATAGGCATTTTTATTACATTCCCTTCGATAGTACATAGCTTATATACGCCCTTTTAAAAGACCTTATATATGATGAAAGTCCCTTTTCACTTTAAATAAAGCTTATGACTTTTAGAATATTGTTGGAATGTCTTATATACTAACACTTGGTTTTCTTTTTTTAATTCTTCTAGCTGTGGTAGTCAATGATCATGCTTCTTTTTAGCAATTTCTTGGGCCTTTTCGACCCTTTTGACAACTTTATTTCAGATTTGCAACAAGACTTCCACTAAATCAAAAAGTCTTTGTAAAAACATCTCTTCTAATATCTCTTTAGTTTCACTAGGGTGTAGTGGAAATCTTGCTTCTCTACCATATACTAAGAAGAAGGGAGTCATTCTGATCATATTCTGCTTGGCCATTCGATATGCAAAAAGTACCGAAAATATTAGAGAATCCCATTCTCTCACGTTGATTACTAGTTTTGCTATAGATTCACAAAATGTTTTATTGAAACGCTTTACTAATCCATTTGTCTGTAGATGATAGGGTGTTGATTATTATGATTAATGGTGAATTTTTTTAAAAATTCATCCATTAAATGATTACGAAAATGCGTTTCCTTATCCGAAACTAGATATTGTGAATAGCTATGGTGATATATGATGTCTTCATATATAAAATTGGCTACTTCTTGGGCATTAGTAATTTTGATTACTTTAGCTTCAGGCCATTTAGTTATGTAGTCAGTGGCGACTACAATATAACAGTTATCTTATAGAGTAATTGGTAATGGCCCAATGATATCAATTCTAATTTTAAAGAATGGTGTCTCAACCGAAATTGGGTATAAGGGAGGTTTAGCCAGATTTTTTCTCCTTCTTTGATAAGTATTACATATACAGACAAATCTTCAGATATCAGTATACATTTGTGGCCAGTAATATTTTGCCCTAACTTTGTTGAACATTATATCGATTCTGAAATATTCTCTCAACGGGTGAGTATGAATTAAAATAAAATTGGTTCAACTTCATATTTTTGTATAACTCTTAATAGATAATTAATCCTATATTTATCCTTCTTATATATTAGGCCATTTTTTACTTTGAAGAATTGACTTTGGGCTTGGATGCTCCATCGTTCTTGAAGAGTTACCGATCTCAGTATCGTATGTTCTTGAAGGTATATTTTCAACAATTGATATCGAAGTAGCTTCATCTTTAATTATGCCAGGACACTGATTACCTGAACAGGATTTTGTTTAGTGTCAGATTTCATATAGTATTCTTAAATAAATTTAAAGGATCTTTCGTATGATTTTCTTTCGTGAGTGTAGTTATAGCCCGTGTAAAAATTATCCTTAATTACTTTGCAGCTATAGATACAATATATTTTTCTAGTATTTTTAAACTCTGAAGCTGTTGTTTTTTTTTTTTTTTTTTAGTTTCGTAAATATATTTGTGACAAGGTATTTATATTGGAGTGTTTTCTACTAGCCTGATATACAATGGAATAATTGTAGAGCTGTAATCTTAAAACCCATTGTGCTCTTTTCTCTTTTGGTTCTGCTGTATGTAACCACTTAAGGGCAGTGTGGTCTGTAATTAAGGTAAAGTATTTGGCATCTAAATAATAATAGAAGTGTTCAACAGCCCATACTACGGCTAAACACTTTACTTCAGGTGCAGAATAGTTTTATTCTGTTTTTGAAAGTCTGTGACTAGTATATACAACCATATATTCTTTGTGGTTTGTATCCTTCTGGGCTAATACAGCGCCTAGCCTCACCTCAGAAACATCAGTATATAGATAGAACATTTTCTTAAAGTTGGGATACCTTAAGATAGGTGCTATCATAAGGTATCTTTTTAACTTTTTGAATGCGGTTTGTTGGTTCTCAGTCCACTTATAGGGAATATCTTTCTCTAGTAGTTTATAAAGTGGCCGAGCTATCATTGCAAAACCCTTAATAAAATATCAAATAATATGATGCCAACCTGATAAATCCTCTTAATTGTTGAAGATTTGCCAGTATAGGAAAATTTTTTACTTTCTCTATCTTAGAATTAGGGTTGGGGGCACAAAAAAAATTTCGGGTATGCCCTATAGGCATGCTTCTGGTTTTTTTGATTTAGAGGCATGCCCCAAAATTTTTTATGTGACACTTTTTATATATATAAATTTTTTGAAAAAGGGCATGCCCAGGAGGCATACCCAAAAGACATGCCTCGTACCTTGTGCCCCCAACCCTACTTAGGATCATTGAGTTTCATCCCCTCCTTATTTATTGTATGATTCAGATAATTTATCTTAGATTTGAAGAAGGTATATTTTTTGGGATTTAACTTTAATTTTGCATTATTTAATTTATTAAAAATGATTTTTAGATAATCCACGTGTTCTTCAAATGAGCTTGAGTATATATTAATGTTGTCTAAATATACGACAGCAAAAATCTCATTACAGTCACCAAGTACCTTGTCAATGAGCCTTTGAAACATCTCTGGATCATTATAAAAACCAAATGGCATTATTTTGAATGCATATGTACTGTATTTAGTAATGAATATAGTTTTTTCTATATCTGCTTCGTTCACACCAACTTGCCAATATCTACTCATTAAATCCAGAGTGGAGAACCATTTGGCTATTCCAAAAGTATTCAAGAGGTCGTTGTTATGAGGGAGTAGATACATATTCTTTTTAGTGACTGAATTTAATTTTTGGTAGTCTACGCAAAAGCGTAGTTTTCTGTTTTTCTTGGGTACTATTACCACCAGAGATGCCCAGAAACTGTTTATTTCTATAATGAGTTCTTGTTGTTTTAACTTGTTTATTTTTTTTTGAATAAACTCATTTTTTTCGTAAGCGGCTTGATAGGATCCTTGTTTAATTTGAGTAGCTTTGCCTGTATTAATACTATGAGTGATGATATTAGTACGACTCAGATCTTCAAGACCTTGGGTAAACATCTCTATTTCGATAAGTAGAAATGTTTGGGCTTCTAACTGTTGGGACAAAGTCAGTTCATCGTTACTGGCCATTTCTTGAATTCTTTCTTTTACCAATTTTTCTTTTTCATTCTCATCCCTTCGGGTGGGTACTTCTTCAATATTCGTGAAGTATATTGCGGGACTTCTTTCATTGTCTGATAGTCAACTTTCTTCATTGAACTTGTCTTCATACTTGAATTCATCAAATATATCCCCACTTTTGCTATAGTTATCATCATTATCATATGAGATAAGACCTTCAACTTCACTATTAGAAATTAGAATTTCAGCTAATTTATTAGTATATTGTAAGTATAATTTTTGCTCATCAAAGTGGATATGAGCTTTTGTTTTTTGGAACCAATTGGTCCCTAATAATAGAGTATCGTTTGACGATTCTATTACATGTAAGGTAGTAGGTATTACAACATCTTTTATTATTATTTTTACATCCTTAATTTTTCCTAATGTTTTTGCCTTTGTTCTAGTAGCTATTACTATGGTAGTACAGGATTTATCATTGATATTCAACCCAATTTTATCTATTAATTGTTTTGATATGATGCTCACTGTGGTACCTGAGTCTAAGATGGCTAGTACTGGATTATTGTGAATCCTAATGTAATATCAGGCTGCAGTTGTGTGATATGGTTCTCTGATAAAGTTGGTTTCTTTCGTCATAGAGAAGCATTTTAATATCTTTGCTAAGTTCTTCCTTTGATTAGGGTATTGAAGTATCTGTTCTACGGTTGCACTAGCAGGTAAGAATAAAATATTATTTGCTATATTATACAGTTTTAATAAGTTGATTACCGAAGGTTCACACTTTTTTTTTTGTTTATTTACAGAAAGCGGGCTTTGTATAATAGGAGGATTTTCAACTTCTGCATTTATTTCTTCTTCTCCAGGTTGAATTCTAGCCGTTTTTCATAATCTCTCTTCCCATTTTAGGTTTGCTGGTCGTTTATTATGAGTGGTAAGATTATTTACCATATATATTTCTTTATTATCAGCGTTCTCTACTTCGCAAAAACTAACAGTTTTTGTCTTATTAAAGTTACTATTTTCTTTTATTTGATCATTATACAGATATCTTAATCTTTCTGACATACAATTTCAGGCTAGATGATCCGTTTCTCCACATTTCCAACATTCAATCCTGCCCTTCCTTTCCTTATAATTTTTTTGAGACTGTCCTCTATAAAAGTTCTCCTGTGGTCAATTTTCATCTACGTTTTTTAATTTGACAGTTAAGGTTGCATAATTTAATACTAAACCTTCAATTGTTTTCTTTATCTTGCTTAACTCTGTTCCTACTTGCTGCTGTTCTGGGAGTCTTTGGCCATAATAGTCACTAGCTTCTACTCTTCTTGCTACTGCTATTGTTTCGCTTAAGTTTTTAGGGGCTGCTACAGCTACAAAAGTGGTATTATTGCCTTTCAATCCATTTAGAAACATCCTGACCACATACCCATCTGAAAAACCATTGTTTACATTAACTCTACTAAGTAACTTTTTGAACTTAGTAGAATAAGTATCTAATGTTTCAGATTCCTTTTGACGCAGCTCATAGAGTTCGATTTGCCAACGATGTTGACGTTCTTCAGGGGTGAATTGTTCTACAAATAAATGGTAGAAACTTTTATTTCGTTCTGTTTCTTTTTCTTTGACCACTTTCCAAAATTCGATTACCCTTTTAACTTCTTTATACCATTTAGCTGCCATTTCTTTTAAATACCCCGATGTGATCTTTAACCTATGGTCTTCTGTCTAATTATTGGCTTCAGCAGTTCTTTCGAAATTGTCAAACCATTCAAATGGATCTTTATCATCAGTACCATAAAAGGACTTAATCTTTACAAGATTATTTTTTTTATGTGTTTTTGCTTCTTCTTTACTAACCGCTTTTTCCTGATTAGGTGATGTTCCATATCCATTTCGATAGCATAATCCAACATCATATTGTCCAAGGTAATCACCATTTTCAGCTGATTTTAAATACCATTCAAATGCCTTTTTTTCGTCCTTTACAATGCCTCTACCATCTCGATAAAGTAATGTGATATTATACTGTGCAGTAGGATTGCCACCTTCGGTAGATTTCAACAACCACTCAAATGCCTTTTTTTCATCTTTGGCTGTGCCTATTTCATTATCGTAGCATAATCCAAGGCTATTTTGTCCTTCTAAATTACCACCTTCAGCAGATTTTAAATACCACCCAAACGCCTTTTCATCCTTGGTTGTGCCTGTGCCATTTTGGTAGCATTTTCCAACACCAAATTGTCCATTCGTATTGCCACATTCAGCGGATTTCAAATACCACTCAAATGCCTTTGTTTCATCCTTATCAACATTAAATTGTCTATTCGAATTGCCACCTTCAGCAGATTTCAAATACCACTTAAATGCTTTTTTTCCATCCTTGGTTGTGCCTATGCCATTTTTATAGCAGAATCCAAGATTACCTTGTCCTTCTAAATTGCCACCTTCAGCGGATTTCAAATACCATTCAAATGCCTTTTTTTCATCCTTGGTTGTGCCTATGCCATTTTGATAGCAGAATCCAAGACTATTTTGTCCATTCGAATTGCCACCTTCAGCAGATTTCAAGTACCATTCAAATGCCTTTTTTTCATCCTTGGCTGTGCCTATTTCATTATTATAGCATAATCCAAGGCTAGTTTGTCCGTTTAAATTGCCACCTTCAACGGATTTCAAATACCACCCAAATGATTTTTCATCATCCTTGCCATTTCGGTAGCAGTTTCCAACATTAAATTGTCCATTCGAATTGCCACCTTCAGCAGATTTCAAATACCACTCAAATGCCTTTTGTTCATCCTTGGCTGTGCCTATGCCACTTCGACAGCAGAATCCAAGGTTATTTTGTCCATTCGAATTGCCACCTTCAGCAGATTTCAAATACCACTAAAATGCTTTTTCTCATCCTTGACTGTGCCTATTCCATTTTCGTAGCTAATTCCAAGATTATATTGTCCACTTGAATTGCACCTTCAGCAGATTTCAAATACCATTCAAATGCCTTTTTTTCATCTTGGACTGTGCCAATGCCTTCTTCATAGCAAAATTCAACATTAAATTGTCCATTAGAATTGCCACCTTCAATAGATTTCAAATATCATTTAAATGCTTTTTTTTCATTTTTGACCGTGCCAATACCTCCGTCGTAGCAAAATCCAAGATTATCTTGTCCATTGGAATTGCCACCTTCAGCAGATTTCAAGTACCATTAGAATGCCTTTTTTTCGTCCTTTATAGTACCTATACTATCTCGATAACATAAACGCGAGATTATACTATGCAGTGCAATTGCCACCTTCAGCAGATTTCAAGTATATACCATTCAAATGTGCCTATGCCATTTTGATAACAGAATCCAACATTATTTTGTCCATCAGAATTGCCATTTTCAGCAGATTTCAGATATAATTCAAATTTAATTCTTTCATCCATGGCAATTTTTGAGCTGAAATTGTGTTTAAAAAAGTCATTCGTATCACTCATATCTTATTATACTGTATACATAATGCTACGTACGTACGTACGTACATTGTAAAAAATAATAATCTGGCCAATAGCCAACATAATTCGGCCCTGATTGGTTTAAATTCAAGATAATCACAAAATTGTGTAGTTCTAAAATATCACATTAATGAAAATGCATTCAATCCGCCCATATGATATAATATCCAATCGTTCATTAGTTTTTTATTCCTTGAGACATAACAATAAGTAGTCGAAAAAATGAAAGAATCGCTCAAATATAACTATTGTCACGGGCTAAAATGAAGGATCTACAAAATTAGGCACAGTAAACTCGTGATTAAAGCAATGGAACCAAGAAATACTGGTTTATCGGTTGAGGCTTATCGGCCGAATAAAGACAAAACAATAACCAACACGAAATCCGAAGAACAAGAAACACGAAAGAAGAAATAAAAGAAGACCGAGTATCAAGATTTAGGATATAGTTGAAGT